TTTCCCATTCTCAAAAGAACTGTTCTGTCCACTCCTTGGTTATCTCAAACATCCTCTCTCTTTCCTGCAGCACCTTTCCATGCAAATGCAAAAATGCAATCCCGTCCTTTCATCTTCTCCCTTCTAGAACTACCTTTGAATCTGTTCCCCATTTTATAAGATGATGGCTGATGCGGTTGTGGTCTCGACTCCACTTTCCTATCTGATCCCTCTGGCCCCGAAGTCCCTTGTCTATCCAGAATTTACCTAACTAAGCCTTGAATAAATTTAATGACCCAGCCTCCTCTGCTTTCTGAGGAAGAACACTTCACAGACTATTTTGCCTCAGAAAAAAAAAAAGACCTAATTTCCATCTTAAAAGCCAGACATCTTATTCTTACATTGTGTCCCTGGGTACTAGTCTCTCCTACAAGGATAAAGATCCTCAGAGTACACCCTGAAAGTCCCATCAGAATCTTCTATGTTTTAGGACAACCACCTCTCGCCAATGGCCAAATAAAAACCGAAAGAACTGCGGATGCTGTAAATCAGGAACAAAAACAAAGTTGCTGGAAAAGCTCAGCAGGTCTGGCAGCATCTATGAAGAAAAAATCAGAGTTATTGTTTCGGCTGCGGTGACCCTTTCTCAGAACAGGAACCTGAGGAAGGGTCACCGGACCCGAAACGTTAACTCTGATTTTTTTCCTCCACAGATGCTGCCAGACCTGCTGAGCTTTTCCAGCAACTTTGTTTTTGTTTTCATCAATGATCAACCTGTTCAATCTTTAAAATAATCTCTTCAGTCCAGGAATGAGTCGAGAGAACCTTGCTGAACTGCTTTCTTATGCAATTACAACCTATTTCAAATAGGCAGAGCAAAAGCATACACAGTACTCCAGATGCCTTCTTACCAATAATCTGTACAGCTGCAGTCAAACTTCTATATTTCATTCCCCTTGCAATAAATACCAGCATTCCATTTACCTTACTAATCATCTGTTGTACCTGCAAATTAATATCTTGCATAATTTTTGTATCCATCTTATCTTCTGTATGTTTCCACGTGTGAAGGATCAACATCCACCAACTGAGTACCAGTACCCCTTTGGATCCCTTCCAAAGCCATCTTTTACTTGAACCTCACTCCTTGCCGAGTATTCACAATACCCTTGTGACCTTCCTTTCTCTGACTCAGTAAAGGTCTCTGACTCATCCGTTTTTGTGTCCACCGCAATTAATTTCAAGCTTGGCCTAATGGTAACCTCGTCCCCTGACCAGATCACAGAAATAATTCACAAGGGGCCAGCCAATCCTTGCAGGAATTGAGATAATCTGGAAGTAAGGCACTTCAGGCTACTTGATTTTTGTATGTAGACAGTCAGGACTCACTCGGTTTGTCATGTCCTGTTTAACACTAGAGTAATTCCAGATTTTGCAATGTAGCAAGTGCATCTCAGCTTAAGACAGCAAAAGGTAACAGTTCTCCTAATTAATGAAGGCTCATTAGGATACTCTGCCTACCTAACTGGCATATTTAAATTAATGCCTTTTTTGGTTTCAAACACGATCTGATGATTTTTAAAAAAAATTTGTCATTTTCTTCAAACATAGCCTCAATAACACTGCTCTTCACGAGGCTGCTGAGATGGGAGCTCAAGGAGTGAAATGTGCAGCTGTTTTACTTGGGTAGGTTTTCTTTTTTTAATCTATATTAAATAATTTACATAAGACAGTGTTATAAGGGAAAAGAAGGGGGACAGTGGGACTAATTGAATGGTACTTTCAAAGAGCCAGCACTGGCATGATTAGGCAGATTGTAATTTTTTATGCTGTTAGATTCTGTGACAACAAGTATGGGCAGTAAATAATTACAACCAGTGGTTAATTAGGAAAACAGGTATTTAGTATAGTCAGGATTTATTCTTATGATATAGGAGCAGAATTAGGCAATTAGGCCCATCGAGTCTACTTCGCATCAGACTTTATTTCTGTGTCAACTTAGCCAGAGTGGTGGGTATCAGTGACTTGAAGAAGGGTTACAGAAGCCATAATTCGCTACCAGGTTCACACCTAAACAACGGTCATTTACACAAAGCTTAGCAAAGCAGGTGGACCTGTAGCTCAGCTTAGGTTATTGAGCAGAGGTAGCAGTGGATATAAGATGATAGAGACTTGTCAGTATTGTCTTCAACGAAGATGCTTGGTCAATTCAGGCTAATCGTTTTTTTCTACCGATTATTTGCAGTTGCAATGCAAGTATAAAGAAGAAAAATGATAAAGCTTTAACAGCATATGATATAGCTGTCAAAAACGGCAATGACCAACTTACCTCACTGTTTGCTGCAAAAATGGGACAAGGAATGTTAGATAAATTCTCAAAGACCAAGCATGTCAGCCTAGATGTCTTTTAATACTTCCTTGAAGGTTCAGGCACATTGAGCACCAAAGCTGTTTCTCAGTGCAAATGTTCATGTACATTTTATTTTATTGAACCTACGTTTTGCAACTGGACATGAAAGCATTTCCAGGAGAGACAGCAAGTTCAGGCTCTGAGAAAGTCAATCGTTCTGCAGCTATATGTTTTTTGGAAGCCCTTGTTATTTTGAAAAGACTCACAATGGATATTCCACCAAAGGGAGAAAGAGGAGTCTTCATGTTCTTTTCCAATATGAAATTGACTTACTGGTTTTGATCCAGCATGTCTTTTATAAGTTTCATGAGAAAAATTTAACTGTAAATCCAAGGATTGCACTACTTTTCCACAGAACCCTAAAACATTTTGTAGCAGAACATTCCTAATGTGACATTACATATGCAGTTCAACTTAAATAAATGTGAAATAAAAATCTTTATCTAACTTGTTTCTTTTATTTTCAGAAGTGTGTCTTCTGAAATAAAATTAAAGTCCAGCAAAGTAGTTTACAAAAATCCAACCTCCCGCTAAGTGTTCCTCATCTGCTTCTGGTTACAATAAGAAACCTAAAATACCAAACACATGGCTTTTCAAGAAACCTGAAGTTAACCTCTTGAATGTGACAACAGTATGATCAGGTATCAGCAGGAGAATCTATTATGGAAATCTGAGTTCTCAACTGGTTTCTTGCTAATTTTACTTCATGACTTTTGTAACATTGATTCTGTAAAGGTTAAAAGCAACAATGGTTCAAACTTTCAGCTTGGTGAGAAGGTTGTAACTTCAGACAGTTGAGCACAAATTCTTCTAAGCTGGCATTGCATGCAATGGAGGATGTGCTAAACAATCCAAGATGCTATCTTTCATATGTTAAACTTAGGCCATCTAGCCTCTTACATAGATGTAAATCATTCCATGCAACTACTCAACTATTTAGAAGAATGTAAAAGTTCATGTACTGGCCAACACATCCCTCAGCCAATATCACTGAAACAAATTATGTGATCTTTATCACATTGCTATTTATGAGACCCTGCTGTGCAGTAATTGTGCATTTCCTACAAGTGACCACACTTCAGCAGCACTTCATTAGCTGTAAATACTTTGGGAACCCTGAAATTATGAATAGCATTATATAAATTACCAGTTCTTTCAGTCTGTCCTAAGCTGCGGATGTGCTTTATTACCTTAGGAGCAATGATATCTCAGATTTACCTGTCCTCACAAATCACCCACCCTCATTCCACCATATGCAGACAATAAAATGGGAATGCTGGTGATACTAAGTTGAAAACAGATGATGGTACAAAATTATCACTGAGGTCAAACTACACGTTTTAAAGAACTTGCTGATACTAAATACAAATCCCTGCGTAATGCTGATCTGTAACTGAAATGCAAAGTATTTAAGGAATTATTCACAAAATTCTACTGCATTTCTTTCTACATGACTCATCTGAAAGAAATACAAATGCTCATTTGTGTTCTTTCCCTTTATTTGTTCCACCGGTAGCTTAGGATATTGCAGTTATGTTACACAAATTTAATAGGAATTCTTCATTTGCTGCTGGCCAACTGTGAATTTTGTGTAAAATTTCTAATGCTTTGTAAAACAGATCATAAAATTTTTATTTCAAAAGATGATCTAAAGTCATAATGGGGTCATTGTTTCAGCCTAATTGTCTGTCCTTTACATGTGCGCATCAAAGGAAGGTTGGTTAGGGCCTAATCCTTCAAAGCACAAGATCTTTCCAATAAATTCTTTAATTTTATGGCTTTCACAAGATCATCTTCGCAATCTGAGCAGAAATGCATGTTTGCACTGCTTACTATCCAAGGGGTAGTACTTGTCATAGAAATCCAAGATGTATTCTTCAGCCTTGAACCCAAACTTCTGATACAGCAGCATAGCAGAGTTACTGGCTGAGACATGGAGAGTCACATCCTTTCCCATGCAAGTCTGTGAAGTAGGAGAAGAATGTGAGTGTGCGGCTAAATAAACTGCATTCAAATGAACAACTATGATGTAGAATTGTACACTCAACCTGACTAAGGATATATTACTTGAGTGTGGAAATTTTTGCAAGTATTCATTTACTTCCCCTCTACGAGCACTGGAAAAATTGTTTGATACATTCTTCATCTGAGTTAGTGTAGGAAAACATGAAAATCACTGCGGGAATTCACCATCTTAAGAATTTTAAGCAAAGATGCATATTTCAAATTACTCTGAAGCACAGATTCCATTTGCCCAGCACCAAGACGCTGGGACTTTATAAGCCCAGGAACTGAGCTGATAGCAGTGTGAGCACAATGATGGGATGCCTCGACGTCAGAATTGGCTAGGGATAACTCTGGAGTCTGAAAGAGTGATGATAATGATGAAGGGACATGTTACATGGTTATAGTGATGCAAGTTTTTTTTTAAATGGATGTTACAAGTCCGGACTAAGTTCAAATTTTAAACCATTCTGACTGAACAACAGATCTTAAATTTTGGGAATAGGGAGAGAATTTAAATTGCCAACACGAGCCATGAGTCAGGTCTACTAATTATTATGACACTATTATACAGTTTAACATGATGCAACAAACCAACCTGAATGAGGTGGTAAATCATGAAGGTTGCAATCCCAGCTCTCCTCCATTCTGGGTGAACCAGCAGGAAAGAAATATATGCCTGATTGTACTTCACATCAGGGACCATGAAGCCAAAACCAACAATAACTTTTCTGTAGAGGACGACAACACTGAAATCTGGGTACTGTAAACTCTCTGACAAGTCAATGCCTGTGGGGGTTAAAAGTGAGAATATATCATTACATGTTTACAAACTAGCTTCAAGTTATACAAAGCATCTTTTTTATTTATTAACGGCATGAGGGCGTCGCTGGCTAGGCAGCACTTATTGCCCATTCCTAATTGCCCAGAGGGCAGTTCAGTATGAACCACATTGATCTGGAGTCAAATGCAGGCCAGACCAGGTAAGGATGGCAGTTTCCTTCCCTAAAGGACTTTAATGATAATGTGGCATTCGCATTTTGAACAATGCTCTATTGCAATTATACAACAGTAATGTCTTTGATACTTCCAAAAATTGGTGAAATGACATTCACTCAGAGACAATAGAAATAAACGGGAAATAATATGTGGAATATCAGTTTCAACAGATTCCGTCAGTAAATTCTGCACAGATCGTTCCTTCACAAACAAGTTATTCAAGAACAATCTCCCCTTAAGTTGTTTTTGCCTGCCTCTCAGACTGCACCAGAGCAGGTTATGACCATCCCGAATACAAATACAGAGCTCCTTTAAAGGAATGCAGGTTGGATTTTGTTGGCAAAGTTGAAGTAAATCTTTCACAATAAAATCTTGACATCCTTGAGAACTATATTCATCAGGACAAGTTTATTCAGAGTTAATTTTGACACATTTATCTAATTCTATTTAAGCAGTGGAATTCAGCAAACATGTTTCCTAACTAGATTACAGAGCGGCAGTCAGTAGTTAAAATTACATCTAATTGTGTAATATTTAGTTAGTGTTTTCAATTTTCCCCCTTCACTCTCCAATTCCTAGGTCTTCCAATAAAAAAACTCTCTTGCTGCCAACGTGCAGGAATTTGGCGTATCCTCCATGCTCTCAGGTCTCCACCAGTGTCAGTTTCGGCCAGCTGCTATGCGAAATGTCAAAATTACATGGAAAATTCATGATAATGTATCAGGAACCTAGTCTTGTTAAAGGTTTAAGAATTCAACTAAGCTTCAGATCATCCAAAACTCTATCGCCTGCATCCTTATTTATGCCTAGAAGTTTTCAACTCTGAGCTTATTGGATCCTGGCTAAACAACAGCTTGATTTTAAAATTCTCATCCTCATTTTCAAGTCCCTCTTGCCACACTATCCCTCTCTCTAACCTCCTCAAGCCCCACAATTCTCCAACAGAACTGTGCTTCTTTAATTCTGGTCTCTTGGGCTTCTCCAATCTTAATTACTCCACCGTTAGTGACTATACCTTCAGCTGCCAAGACCCTAAGATCTGGAATTCACTCCCTAAACCTCTCGAACTCCCTCTCTGCCTTTTAAAACTTATATCTTTAACTGACCTTTCTCTGAAATTTGTCTGCCCTTCTCTCTCTTCCAGGTTGTTTCAGGCTTTGTAGTACTCCTAACAATGTGATTACCCTGTTTTGTTTTTAAATTCTACACATATGATCTCAATCGAGGAACCACGTTAAGATAGCATCCTCCTTACTGCAATTCTATATTCATTTATCAATATTGCAACATCATCTACTCTTTTGCAACTCTCCCTGTCTTGCCTGAAGATTCTATATTCCAGAGTACTGAGCTGCCAGTCTTGCCCCTCCTTCAGCCATGTCTCTGTGATAGCAATGATATTATATCCCTGCGTTAATCAGCACCCTTAACTCATCTGCATTACTTGCAAGACTCCCTGCATTAAAATAAATGCCATTGAGCCTTGCAGTGCTTGACTACATATGCTCTACTAGCCTGTGCATGTTGTGGATCAGCCCCATTATACTTGCACGCCGTGTTCTATCCTCCTACCAAATTAGTTTAAATCCCACCAACAGCACTGACAAACACCATTTCTAGGACATTATTCCTGTTTCGAATCAGACACAACCTGTTGGACTTGTACTGGTCCCACCTTCTCCAGAAATGAACCCAGTCATCCAGGAATCCAAAGCCCTCCCTCCTGTTCCAATTCTTCAGCTATCTGCTCTATATATAATACCACACGGCACTGGGAGTAATCTAGAGATTATCAGCCTCAATATCCTGCTTTTCAATCTTCTGAATGCCATATTAGAGGATGTATGTGAACACTTTGGAAAAAGTACAGAAAAGATTTACAAGAATAGTTCCAGGGATGAGAAACTTCAGGTATAAAGATAATTTGGAGAGGGCTAAAAAGATATTTGGTAGAATTTTTCAAAACGGCGTGGGGTTTCAACAGAGTAAATGTTAAATACAAGGTGTTAGATGCTGGTTAGACAGAGTGCAGGCATATACTTTTCTCGTCACAGTTTTACTTTCAGTCCACAAACTTTAGGGGCAGCAATTACTTGTGCCCCTTTATACATAAATCCAGTCAGTGCTCACTCAATTATCCTTTAATTATCTCACAACCATCACCTAGTTTTCTAGTTTCATTTAGACTTAGGCATTCCTGCCAGTCTCAACTAGATGATAGTTGAGAAACTGAGATGAGAAACTGCTCCCACTCATGAAAGGATTAAGACGACAGGACACAGATTTAAAGTAATTTGCAAAAGAAATGAGTGAATGCGATTTGAGAAATAAACCTCTTCACACAGTGGCTAGTTAGGATATGGAATGTACTGCCTGGAAGTGTGGCAGAGACAGGTTTAATCAAGGTATTCAAGAGGATATTAGTTGATTATTTGAATA